GCTATATTAGTGGTAAAAATAGCTTTAACTTTGTACCTGGCAGTATTTCAGTTGTTCATTCATTTCCCCAAGATGTTTATCGTATTCAGCAACTATAGTAGGTAATAAGCTAAGAGGGATGTAAAATAAAGTTTACATATTGAGTGACACAATGCAAATGAAAGTAAAAAAATATCATCAACATAAAAAAATGAATCATTATTAAGGACAAGCACAATAATCCCAAACACGCTGTATATATGAAAACTTTTCAAACAATTGGTCTTGGCTACTTATATGTTACATTTTTATCCTGCTTTTCTTCTAGAAGCTCAAAGGGCATACACAGTACTCAATACTCCATTTTTTATTAACAGTAACACTCCTGAGTGCCATCCAAAGAGTTTCCAAGGCTGAAGACAAATTTGAACCAGACTCTTCCTGATCCTAATCCAGCATACACATTTTAAAGTCATTAGACAATTCCTGTAAGAAGTAAGAATGGAATTTTCTCACTTAGATGTGGATTTTTTAAAGTACCAGATAGTCCAAAATTATCTTGGACATTGTGAAACTGAAGTCAACTTCTTTAAAGGCTTAATTCTGAAGAAGTAGGATCTCTTGTCCTATATGGACTCCCAAGAATATAAATAGATGGTTTTTTTCTCTGCTCAGGTGATGGCAACTTACCTTAAATACCTCACTTTCACTTTGGAATACATTTATACCGGACATCTCAGAACTCAGCTACATTGGATAGAAAACTAGAAACTCCAAAATAAATTTGACATACCTGTGTTGTAAAAGTGATCCTACTACTATCTTGATTTATAAAATATCAAGGGATTACAAACAAGCAAACAATAATAATTTCATTTGAAGTGATGGATCAACAATGTTTTAATGTAAACAACCCAGGATTCTTAACAATTAATTATTGTAAAAGTTAAATATAATTGTAAACAGGTGAAAATGTTTAAATTCCTTTTCTTCTTGCAGCAGTTAAAAAGAAATTTTATATAAAGTAATTCTTTCCCTTTCAGTTTACCCAGATAGAGGGAACGCAAACTGATTTTATGAAGTTTTCTAGTAGAACCTACAAAGTGACAGCTTTTATATATTTAAAAAAAAAAATCAAACTCAATGCCAGTTAGGCTAATATTTTTAAGACATGAAAGAAAGGAATAGATCAAACTGTCAAGCTCTGATGTTACAAAACATTAGCTTGTAGTTTCTCACTGTTAAGGCATGGAATGCTTGTGGAATTATTTTCCAGATAAAAGAGTCAGGTTCAAACATGATTAAAGTATTGGCAAAATATTTAGAGCTCATGGAGAGTTTTGATGAATTGGTTTATGATTGACTTAAGAGCCACTGAAATGAATACATTAACTTTAAATTCCATTAATTTCAGCAGATCAACTTTCTGTATGGTTACATTTGGATACAGTTCACTGAAGCTTTCTTTTTTCTTAATCACAAATCTAATTCCTCTACCCTGAGTACAGTATATTTGTTTAAATTATGTGTACACATAGTTTTTACATATACATATACATGTGAACAAGATCAAGATAAAAAAGTAATAGATACTTCACTTGATCAATTCCAGATATCAACACATCCTTTTAAAAGGTATTTTGAAATTGCATTTTATATATTATTTAGAATGCAAAATAAATAGCTTTACCTTTGATCTATCAGGATGTGCTCTGTTATACTGGCATCTTCAAAGTCATTATTCTGGAAACAAACATTTAACTTTATTAAAGTTTATCTTTTGTCATAAAAATATTTTTAAAACCCCTAAAATTTAATTCTATAGACCTTCATATTTAAATCAAAGTATTCCCAATGTATTCTCTTGTAGAATACATTGGCACCCTAAAATTTAATCAATAAATAAAAAGAAAAAAGAAAATTCCATATAGATTCAAATTGAATTCAAAGAGCATAATCTTAGCTTTTGTATCTTATTTTTTCACATTTATATTTCATTTCAGTTCTTTGATTATCTGCAGAAACTCAAAATACCTATGACTTTAATAGAATAGAGACTTTTGCCAACTGTATTACCTTATAATGATAAGAATGCAACTAATTATTTACTTAGTATTTCATTAAATGTTAAAGCTGAATGAAAGTTCACCAATTCAATTCTTCCAGTGGCAACCAGTATCTTGTTTTGCTTTTATTTATTTCACATCAGCTATTTCTTTTGATTAGTGATAAACTAGCAACTAAATTTCATTTCTGCTTTGTTTGGAAATGGATAAAAGAAGAATTGATAGTTGGTAAAATTATAGAACCATTAGATCTGGACTTCAAAAATCCAGATGATGATTAAAAGAAATAAGAAGATTAAAAAAACTGTACTCCTAAAAGGATGCTACACAGAAAAATTATGGGCGCATCAGGAGCAACATAAGTGAAAAGTAGTGATAGACTCACAATATGTTAAAATAGATATACAAATGTTTATAACAAACAAAAGTACTATTTATTTCAAGTTTGGTTGGTATACCATAATTTTCTTAAATTTGCATGTTGAAAAAAGTTATCCTGAGATTTTGGCAAGATCACTCAAATTTTACAGGAATCTGCGACTCTGGTTTATAGTATTCTGTTGAAAGGTACTGTTGATGTCACAGCCACCATCACAAGAAACAATGCTTCTATATGACAAAGACTTGCTTTTTAATAACGCTCAAGGCTCAGTTAGCTGTAGTGGGAGTGGCCAAATGTAACTGCTATAGATTCATTTAATAAAAATAAATAAATAAATAAATAAATGTATTCAGGCACTTTACATAAACAAGCTGCTTTATAAAATGTTCTCTTTTTAAAAAATGAAAATATAAGAATCTTGTAATAGTGGGTAAGCAAATTCAACTAAATGATTTGCATGGTCCTTTATGTCAGTGATCCCCAACCTTTCTTATGCCGCGGCCTGGTATCCCCAACCTTTTTTATGGCGCGGCCCGGTACCGGCATTAGCTGGGCGCCGCCATCTTTTTTTGATGAAAAAGTGCTTCCGGTGAGCTTTCTACCCGGAAAAGCTCACCGGAAGCACTTTTTCATAAAAAAAGATGGCGGCGCCCAGCAAACCAGCGGCCCGGTAGGACTTGTTCCACGGACCGGTACCGGTCCGCGGACCGGTGGTTGGGGACCCCTGCTTTATGTGATGCTTAGCATAGGTTAAACAGTACAACAAAAATGGAATATAGAAATCATGAAAGATATGAAAAAAATGTATACCAATTTACTATATAGTCTAATCATACCCTTTACAGCCTCCATCAAATTAATGCATAAAAAGAGATAATGTCCAGCCAAAAATAAAGGTTGACGATCACTGATACCTAAATTATATAGTACAAATGCATTTTAATGAAATGTTATATGAAACTTACCTTGACATCTGTTGCCATTTTAGAATCTTATCAGAATTTCATATAACGTTTCTATGAAGCTGATTTGCTTTTCAGTACCAGAAACACAAAATCTATGAAATAAAATAAATATAACTGGCAAACACAGCTTATAATTGCTTGGAACTGTATCTTCTAAATCTAAATTCTTAGGGAGAAATACAAAATAACCTGAACAGCTTCCACAAAGCCTGCAACAATGCTGTTAAACTTCAGAGTTGTAATCTTGATGCTATCAATGTCAACCATAAAAAAATCAATCTTGACATATTTTACAGGAAAAGCTATTACTTATTCTTATAATGTTGTGTTTTTATCTTTAGATAGAAAAATTAAGATCAAACATAATGAAAAAAATTAGAATGTAAAGAAAATTGTTATTAGTTGAATATTTTCATCATTTATATCTTAAAAAAATACTCAGACAAGATTAGAGAGATAATGATCTATCCCTTAATTTTCAAAATGCTTAAAATCCTTCTATTTACATATTATTTACATAATCCTTCTATTTCTTAATGTAAAGTGTATTACTTGTTAGTGTACTTCTTAGTGTAAAAAGTGTATTTCTTGTTAGTATATTTTTAGCGTAAAATCTTAGTGTAAAGTTGTAGTGAAATGTCCTCATTGTACTGTCTCCCCTCCAATTATTTAATGTTTTGCTTGATCTTTGAAATCCAGTATTTCTTCTCCATCTTTGTAATATCTTTTTTGAGAGAAAGAACTTGGGATGCTCCAATTGATCAGAGATTACCCTTCCTGGAAAGCCCAACAGGTACGACTGACCTAGCAAAATTGATCCGTCCAAGCTCCTCCAACAATGCTTGGATTTTTCGGCTGCAGGGAAGATTTATTGTGTGCATCTTCCTGATTCTCCTTGAAGTTTCCATTCCTTAGAACAGGAGTCTCCAACCTGGGCAACTTTAAGATTTGTGGACTTCAACTCCCAGAATCCCTAAGCCAGCAAAGCTGGCTGAGGAATTCTGGGAGCTGAAGTCCCCAAGTCTTAAAGTTGCCCAGGTTGTAGACCCCTGGTCTAAAGGAAACCTACCCACAGCGAGTGGGGTTACGTGGGATAAACTTTAACTACACACGCATGCATTTGGGCGAGGGGGGAAAGAAGAGGGTGTATTGTGTTGGGCGCAGAGGGCGTCCTCCCCATGTTGGTAGCTTGTCCTTACCTCCGAAGTGAGACGGAAAGGAAAAGGAGAAACTTGCCGAGCGGAAGGCGGACCGCTTAAAGCCCATCGGCGCGGGCAGAAGGACGAAACCACCCAAACAAATCTGGAAGCAGCTGCGGGCTTCGCTTCAAGCCACGTCACCTCCCTCCAATCATCGCCTTCCCTCCTCAGGAGAGCAGCACGCGCCGCCTCAATCGCTGACTCCAACACCGCCGGCGTCTTAACGACCGACTTGACTTGTGGAAAGGTTTAAAAACAACAACACCGGTGGGCGGGGTGGGGAGACCGATGTGGTCAGAAATAAAAAAAACAACCGCCAATCGGATTCTAGTTAAGCTGACGAGAGAGCCTTTTGCCATTGGTTTAAAAATGGTCACGTGCTTCTTGGGCTTCCTTTCCCCGCCCCTTGAATGGAGAAGCTGCTTGTAGGTAAAAGTAACTGGGGTGGTGAGCGGAAGTGTGGACGGTCCCTTCGGTGGGGTGGGTGGATTTGGTTAGGGAGGTTTGGATTACAGGCAGGAGAGAGTCCACATTGCAGTCTTCCGTCCCCAGCCTTGGGAACACGGGTGTTGTTAAACTCTCGGAAGCTTTCTTTGAGTAGCTATAGTATAGGTTCTGCTTGAACAGGGGGCTGGACTAGAAGACCTCCGAAGTCCCTTCCAGGCTCAAGACTTCTAAAGCTATAAAAGCTGCACTGAATGCTGGTCGTGGCTGAATTTTCTTTTAGGATTTGACTTTAGCTTTTGAAATATCCCCATTCCCATCCTCTCTCCCTGCGAAATTACTGGTTTTGAATAGTTGGTTCGGCGAGCAGAAGTTAAGCCATTGAAACCACGTAAGCATTAAAAGGCAGAATGTCTGTTTCGTGCAAAATAATGAGCAATCTGATGGACATAAGGTTACATTGTACGCTTTTGGGTACGTATGTGTGAATATGCGCACACATAAACTTCGCTGCAGCGTTAACAATGACCAGAGCATCTCTTGGTAAGCAGAGGCAACAAGAAACTTGGCCAATAAAAGATTAAGCCAAGTGTGAACAATTATCTGTCTATGGTTGCTAAAATAAAACACCAGAGTTTCTTGCCATTTTTGGATTAGGAATGGATGAAAACAGTAATATAAATCTTAAAATTGAAATTTAAAAAAAGAGAAAATAGCTTTTACTTCAGTTTTGCTTAGATGTGTAATGGATTCAAACATTTGATCTTTAGACCGCAAAAATTTAAGACACTGCAGATGGTCTGGAAGGGCTTAGTAGCAAAGCTAGTGTTGATGTTGTGGAAATTTATAAAACTGAAAATTACAATTAAATTTATAAAACTGAAAATTACAATTACAATGGTGTTATTGCAGGGATGCACTGCAGCTGTGTACGTGTTCTGACTAATGTCCATAACAACAACAGTATACTTTATGTTCACATTATGGCTCTATTACCACTATTTTAAAACCCAGATAAAGATGCTATTTGTGCATTCCTAATGACAGGTCAAATAAGGGAAGATTTGCTTTCTCTGGCAAATTTGCTTCCTATCAATTTTAAACCAATCTTGCACTTTTGTTCAGTTGATGTTCAGCATCAATATAGAAATGTAACAATGTGGGAGGGAAAAGCTGATTTACATATTTATATGTTGTGATCACTGTGGACACCCTGTGGTGAAAGCAGGTTGAAACAGGTACAAAAATTAGGAGAAAAAGCATAAAATTCCTGGAAGACATTTTATTTGCATAGTATCAATATGAACTTGCATGTATCTAATGCTTTGCTGTTCCCATGTATTTTGTGTGTAAGTGTGTGAACGATAGTAGTATGTCCTATGATGAATAATTAAGCTGTACTCTACAGATCAGTAATAAGCCAATACAGATGCTATGATGTAGGTATATAGTTTTAATTTTCACTTGCATTAAGGTAATTTGTTATTTTGATTTTAAATTGGCAGCACATTTCTTCTGTTTTTATGTTTTCAAAATATAGCCCAAGATAATTAAGCATAAGACGCTGTCATCAACTTTTAGACAGAAATGTATATGCTATGTGTTGTTAATCTTGGTCTTCAAAAACTTGAAGTCATGGTGTTGTTTTAAAAGCTATAAGTCGTGGTATACTTTCTTAATATATTTGCTGCTAATATATTGAATATGTTTGGAAGTCATATATACCTTGAATAAAAAGTAAGTGAATGGGATTTATTTTAAGCAAATGTCTATCAATGAAATAGATCCTAAAACTAAAAATTGTAGATATATAATTAATAATTCTATAATAGCAATGATAATGTATTATCTTCAATTAAAAGACATTTCAATTTATTAATATTTATGTTAAATATGAAACAATTTTTCTTGATATAAAATACTTAGATGGAGTTTAAAATTGAACATACATGGAACAGCCTTCTAGTGTCCCACGATCCAATAATAATCAGACTGAGTCCAGAAAAGGCTGGAATATTGCTGGAATTGAATGCCCCATTTTTCAATGATCCTCCAGCTCCTCCTGGTGAACCAGGAAAACCATTCAATGGATTATGGGACTATGAGGGTAAGTAAACTTTATTGTATTAGGACTTAAAATTTTGAATATTCTGATAGCAATTCTTGCCTAGAGGTTCATTTCCCCCCTCTTTTTATAAGTACTGTAGCAAAATGCTGATGTGCCAAATGTTCCTATTTCAGTGCCTATAAGCTATTTTGTTTTCAGCATTTTAAATATATAAATTCTACTGATGGTCCTATTGCTTTTTCCGATGTACAGTGTAAACTAATGTCTAACCATAAACTATGGTAGCAATTAAAGTCTTACACTTCTTTCTGAACATAAATATTCAGGTACCATAATCAATTACAAAGTGGCTAAGTAGTTCTAGCAAGTTGACTTAATATTTTTGGTGAATTGGTTTTCAGACTTTCCATAACCACTTGTCAGATTTAAGGTTAGGGTTTATATTTAACTTTTTCATATGATGAAACTCTGCTATTTGCATAGCACTTCTACACTTCTGTTTGTAAGCAAACCACTCTGCTATTTGAAGCCCATCTTTCATACTAAATAAATGATTTTGCAGAAACACTTGGTCAAAATAAGTTTTATGTTATTAATGAGGCCTCCAAATGCTCAGCATATTGCTGGTTTCTTTAGTTTGCTGATTTTCATACTGACATCAAAAGTTTTAAAATATGATTTTGATAAATCTAGTATCTTAAATATTTGCATATTCATATGCAAATCTGCAAACATCAGACTGTTAGAAGTTTAACGCAATTTAATTTTCTCTTGTTGTAAGTCATATATTACTACTTATACAGGCTTTTCTGATCTTGCCAACATAACCATTACCCTCTTGAAGTAAGTTTCATAAATTAGCCTGTATTTGTCTTCATTATCATCCCCTTACTTCATTATGACTGTTCGAATTAATTAGTATTTGAAAATGTTTTGCCTGAACAGAAATATTACTGTGAAATGAAACTGATGTGTTTAATTGGCTGTTTGATTTTTCTATTTGATGTTTCTCTAATGCCACTGAAATTGAATTGTTTTATCCTGAATATAAGGCTTTTCGTTTTACACCATTGTTTTACAAAAACATAAAAATAAAGGGATATGCAACCAGTTCAACATGTACATGTATTTTTTTTTTAAATGCTTATCACTTGAAGACAAATCTTAGCTGGTAGTGCTAAGCTCTATGAGCTCTAAATCAGAGTGTGTTGAGACAGAACAACTTCAAATAGGGATTTAAAAGTTAAAAGCATATGAGTGCCAAGTTGCATAAAGAAGTTGCACATTGTGAAAGAAATATCTTGTGGAAGCTGCACATTGTGAAAGAAATATCTTGTGGAAGCCATTTGGATAGACCTTAATTTTTTACCCTAATTGCATTAAAATGCAGTATTATGATTTCCAAGTAGTTATTTTTCATACACGTCCATTAAGTCTGAACTTCTGTCATAGTTTTGTCAAAATTTGTCCTAGTTTTAAAACAATGGCTATGATAAAGCATTTCCAATGCCTCTGATAGAAGCTTATACAGTTAGCTTAGATTCTGAATAACACTAGTAGGCTTCTGAAAAAGATTTTGTAATCTTTTGCATCTTTTTGTATGTTTGTGTGTGTACCTTTGAGTAAGTATCGGTTCTTGGAGAATCCTGGACTAATCTCTGCAAGATTTTGAAAGTGTTTGCTATTGCCTTGTCTCTTAGGACTGAGAGATGGTCACTGGCACAAGTTTACCAAGTTGGGTTCATGCCTAAGGCAGGATTAGAAATCGGACTCTCCCAGTTTTTAACCTAGTGCCTTAAATGCTACACCAGACTAGCTCTTACCTTTAAATCATTAGATTAGGTAAAATAACACCATAGTTACGGATATTGTATTCATTGATCTTTGTGGCTAGATGAAATAAACAAAAATGAACAATTACTATGTTATTTTAGTTGTAGAAGCCTTCTTCTTGAATTACCAAACCCAGCAGTACCTAGAAGTAGAGCTCTGCCCGTAAGTAGATATTTTCAAATATTTTTTAGAATGTTCTATAGCATTGGTTCTCGATCCGTGGACCCCTGGGAGATCATGTCATCACAAGGGGTCCGTGAAGGCTTGAAGAAATGTTATGATTTAATGTTATGATCTTGAGTTAAGTCTCAGTGGTCTGTGCCCATGAAGGGTATTTAAAGGGGGGTCCGTGGTGAACAAAAGACTGAGAATTGCTGTTCTACAGTAATTATTTCAGCAGTTTTTCATTGGAGACATGTTTCTTTTTTATGTATATCTTCAAGCATCTTGACTTCTGGCAACTGTCTGGATGCAGTTCTGCAGTTCTCTTGGGAAGATTTTGGAAGTGGTTTGTCCTTGCCTCCTTCCTGCTGAGAGAATGACTGGCTCAAGCTGACCTTCATGGCTTCATGCCTAAGGCGGTGACTAGAACTCATCATCTTCCAGCTTCTAGCTCATCTGCTGGTTTCAAGCCTAGTACTTTAACCACTACACCAAACTGGCTTACATTCTTGAAATTATGCTTTAATTATGTATTAATATCCATAGCCCATTTGAGTGGCTGGCTGGGCTTGGGTTTTTCCTTCCCAGGAAATGAATTGGTGGTAAAAGTTTTGTAGTTGCTTCCTCCACTCTAGCACTGCCTGCACCTTTTTGGGTCCATCTCTTGTGGGAAATGTGGTAGTCAATTTTACTCTGGTGGAATTCATATCTGGACAGCTTGGCATATAATTTGGTTGCTCGAAGCTTCTGGAGCATACCTCTGACAGTTTTCTGTGTTCTGCCATAGTCAAAATGTCATTAAGGTAAACTATCACTCCCTTGTACAGGTGTTCATGCAGCACTTCATTTATTAGTTGCATGAGCACAGCAGGGGCCCCTTGCAGTCCAAAAGGGAGAACCCAGAATTGGAAACATCATAAGGGGGAAATTGAAAGCCGTGTGTGAACACGATGGAAAATAGGGAGAGGGAAAATGATAGGTAATAAAGACGAGAGCAGCCCGGATGCAGTTTGTACCAGCCAGGCATCAGGCACCAAGGCCAGGCATTCTGAAAAAATAATACAGATTACTCCCAAACATCTCTGCATTCTTAAAACATTTTGGCAAGCTCTGATTTCCGGGATATGGACTGGTCATGGGGGAAGGGATGGACTGCAGGCAAACCTTTCTGTATCTTTTGAGCATGGGAAAATTAAGAGCTAGCCTGGCTTTTACTGCAGCCAACACCTTTAGTTAAAGAATCTTTTGCTTTAACCAAATGGAGTCGAGGCTCTTTCTTTCCTAAGGGATCATATTGGGGACATTAGATTTACGCAGCAGGAGAGGATCTAGTACTAGGAATTGCAGTCTAGGTTTTACAGGTATCACTCTTGGTACTATGTACCTGTTTGGAATTGTTCTGTAGTTTTTGAACAGTCATGGGAAATACTTTGTGTTAGTGTTTCATAGCAGATAGATAGCATAAAAATAAATGAACCCACAACTTACTTTTACAATGATAAAAGTATAGTTCAATAACTTGAAAGGCCATTCCTATCCATGTTTTATAAAGTAACAGCTACTTTTTACAGCTTGAATAAAAGAAGAGCAATGTTATTAGGGCAATGAAAAATAGCATATTAAAAGGCTGCAGATAATAATGCAATGCAGCATTATACAGTGATTAGAATGCATCTAACAGGATAAGAGTCTTTGATAGTTTGGACTACCTGTAATTGAAACATAAATAAAAATATGCTAATTCTTTTCGGTTTCTATGATTATCAGTTTTTTCATAAGATAGGATTATTCTTTTTGAGGTATGCCCTGAAAGCAAAAACAACAGCAACAATAAAACAGTGGTAAAATAATTACAATTCTGATAATCTATTTCAAACTAGTTTATCAGGATTTCATATTTTGAGGAAATCTGCACCCCTCCAGACATCATACAGCCTGATTATAGTAGTAGCAAAATGATTTTATGCCATACACAAATCGAACAAAGTGAGATAGGGTTTGAGACTACTCCATTTTTACTACCATACCTAGACACGAAGAACATAAACATGTTATTTAAAGAATAAAGATGCGTTCAGGTTGAACTCAGTTTAGGATGATTATTTAGACAAAACTTTTTCTTGGAAATAATATAAAAGTGTTTTGCCACTGTTTTCTTCTGGGATCTTTAAAGAAAAATTCGTAGTTTAACAATCCTAGATATCCTACTACACAGGTGTCAAACTTGCGGTATCACGTTGCTGTCACGTATCGTGACTTTTTCCCTTTGTGAAACGGGGTAAGCGTGGCCTGTGCATGACACTTGCGGTGCGTGGACCACCAGTTTGACACCCATGCCTAGTAGTCTTCTATCCAGGTAGTCCTTGACTTACAGCAGTTTGTTTAGTCACCATTCAAAGGTACAGCGACACTGAAAAATGTGACTTATGACAATTTTTCATAGTTACGACTCCTGCAGCATCCCATGATCATCTGATCAAAATTTAGGTGCTTAGCAATTGGTTCATATTTATGACTATTGCAGTGTACCAATATCATGTAATCCTCTTTTGTGACTTTCTGACAAGCAAAGGCAATGGGGAAGTCAGATTTACTTAACAACTGGGTTACTAACTTATCAACTGCAGTAATTCACTTAACAACTATAGCAAAAAAAAGGTCATAAAATGGGACAAAATTCACTTAACAAATGTCTCATTTAACAACAGAAATTTTGGGCTCATAAGTCGAAAACTACCTGTATTAATAGGACCTAACTCAGCTTAGCTTCTGAACCAAGTTAATTCAGAAATGGTTAATACGCAACTGTATCTATGTATGTGTGTAGCTTTATCTCAGGATATGTATATATAATGGCTGTACATTGCAAGAAAATTTATTAAAAGTAGTCCTGTATCTTTAATGTTTTCATATTCATTTATTAGCTGATGGCTGCTATTTTGCATGTTAACAGCATTGTCTTCAGGTAACAACTAATAAGTAGACTCTGGCTGGATATACAAAGCAAATATTTTTCTGTTATCTTTATATTATATTTTTATAGGCATGGCCAACATTTAGTATTGTTCCTTTGTGGCAAACGGAATATATGCAGAGTAAGTGAACCATTTGAGTTAATATCTCCCTAAATATGTGAATGATTCTGAGAAGATGGTAAATCTGTGTTTTAATTTTTTTTTACTTTAACACAGAAAGAACTTCCTTTAAAATTTGAAGTTTCAAGGGCAACTACCAAATGGAGGGGCCATGCTCATTTGCCTTGGAATTTTTTTCCTCCCAACACTGACAGATTTAATGCATTTGCAATTCATGGATCAGATATGAACAGAACATACGAAGCTCTCTATCCTATTCCTCAAAATGAAGTTCACTTTAATCAGAAACCTGATTTGTAAGTATATTTCTGATGCCATTTTTATGAAAGGCTGGTATAGGGAAGAGAATATTTTATTGCCCTATAATAAAAAATAAAATAAAGTTTTATAATGTTATTATATTTATATTCCACTTTTCATACCTCAGATGGCATGCATAGTACACCTCCTATTTTCTCCACAAACCATGAGAAGGGTTGTGTTCAAAGAGTCTAGATAGGTCCAAAGTCCATCCATTGACTTCTCTGAGACTGGATTTGAACTTCAGGCTGTCTATCAAACTGTAACCCTCAAACCACTATAGGTTTGAGAATAAATATACCAAGAAAATCTAGATTAATTTCGGAATTGTTTATTTGTTTAGAATCTACCAATAGCACATTTATTATTGAACATAATAATAAAACATCTGTTCCTTAAACCACCAATAGCAAAATCTACTTAGTTGATTCTCCTGTTTTATATAATTTACAGTATAAATATTGTCTAGCATATTTCAAATATATTTTAAAACTATTTTTGAAGCTTTATGTAATGCAATAAAAATATTCACATATTGCTTGTCTTTTATATCCTTCATCTTCGATATTTTGCATCCTTTCTGGGGCCTGGAATTTGCTATATCCTATGCACACTGGTATCTCCTGAATGCCTATTGGTGATGGTTATCTAATTTTTAACCTACCTCCAAACCCCTAATTAGAATCATGGACAGCTTCAGTTTTTCATGAAAATAAATTAATTTGTAGGTTTAGAAAACATTAGGCTAGCAATTTTTTGACAGTTCGGAAACCTCTAGGGCAGGGGTGTCCAACCTTGACAACTTTAAGACTTGTGGACTTCAACTCCCAGAATTCCTCAGCCAGCAAAGCTTAAAGCTTAAAGTTGCCAAGGTTGGACACCCCTGCTCTAGGGCTTGATTTAACAGAATAAACATTCAAGTGTGTGCTTAATGGGGCATTATTTTGCAGAGATCATCTTTGGAAGGAACTGTTGGTGCTGCTTGCCTCGTGTGTACATACACTTAACTGATTGGCTTGTCTTAATTTGGCATAGTGGTCTACCTGAAAGTTTT